CGTATCTTGCTTCCTAAGGCTGCTAGGGCATCAGCGCAGATGTTTTCGCCTCGCGGGACTTTGGTGAGTTCAAAGAATTCGAATTCCCGAGAGAGGTTTTTGACTAGCTGAAGATACGCGTCCATGCGTTCATTCCGAGTGTCGTATTCACCGCTCAATTGACTCGTCACTAACTGAGAGTCGGAATAGGCACTGAGTCATTTCGCGTTGACTGCTTTCGCCAACCGAAGGCCTGCGATCAAAGATTCGTACTCGGCCTCGTTGTTCGAGGCCGGGAAGCCAAAACTGAAGGATTGCCGAATCAGCTCGCCTGTTGGGGATTGGAGCTGCACGCCGGCTCCGGATCCTTGGTTGGTTGCTGATCCGTCAACGTGGAGTATCCAGTTTCCTTTGGGTAACGCGAGTTCCTGAATGAGTTCTTCTTCGAGATTTTTCGGTAGCTCGATAATAAAATCTGCTAAAACTTGAGATTTGGCGGCGGGACGTCCTTTGAACACAACGTCGTGATCGCTTAACTCGATCGCCCATTTGGACAATCGGCCCGACTGATTGGTGTTTTGCATGACTGTCCGCAGTGGATAGTTTGTTAGGACTTCGACCATGTGAGATTGGAAATATGGCCCGAGTTTGCGTGCGGACGTGATTACTGCAAGGGCCATTTTCTCAAGAGTTGGATAACACATCTCAGGTTCGGTCATACGCTTACTAGTATAGAATATCGGCTTTTGTTCTCCGCGATCGTCCTTGATTAGGACACTGCTGACTGCGGTTGCGGATACTGCGATATAGAGGGAGAGGATATCGCCGGACTCGGGTTTCGAGAGTACCGGAGGCGTGGTGAGGTACTGTTTCAGCTGTGCGAATGCCGCTTCGGAGTTCTCGTCCCAGATGAAACGCTTGTTCCCTCAAAGGAGTTCGTAGAACGGAAGGCATTTATCTGTTGATCGGGATATGAACCTATTTAAGGCTGCAATACGGCCGGTTAGACGTTGGACTTCGCGGCTGTTTCTCGGGCTGGGAAGGTCGAGAATTGCCGAGATCTGCTTTGGGTTGGCCTCGATTCCTCTTTGTGTCACGATGTACCCGAGGAATTCGCCAGAGGTAACCCCGAATGTGCACTTTGCCGGGTTTAATTTCATGCCGTATTCGTTTAACGTGCGGAAACATGCCGCGAGATGCTCCGGGTGGTCTACGGCGCGGGACGATTTCACCAGCATGTCGTCAATATAGACTTCCATTGTTCGGCCGAGGTCGTTCGCGAACATCTTGTTGACGAGACGCTGGTAGGTTGCGCCCGCGTTCTTTAGCCCGAAAGGCATGACCTTATAGCAGTAGGTTCCTCTATCTGTGATGAACGCGGTTTTCTCTCGGTCGTCGGGGTGCATAGAGATTTGATTATAACCTGAGAATGCGTCCATGAATGTTAACCGCTCGTTTCCGGCAGTCGATTCGACCAAGCGATCGATGTGGGGGAGTGGGAAACTGTCTTTCGGGCAGGCCTTGTTGAGATCGGTGAAGTCGACGCAGACACGCCACTTGCCGTTTTTCTTTTTGACGACAACTGGGTTGGCTAACCACTCGGGGTACCGAACTTCCGTAATTGAGCCGGTTGCAAGTAGCCGTTCAACCTCATCGTTCACCGCCTTAGATCGTTCAAGTCCCAGTTTTCGCCTCTTCTGTCTGATAGGTTTAAAAGTTGGGTCGACGTTCAGCTGGTGTGTAGTGATCGAGGGGTCGATTCCCTTCATATCTGACGTCTCCCAAGCAAAGGTCGATTGATTGGCTCGCAAGAATTCGACGATATTTCGCTTCATTTCGTCCGGTAGGTAAGCGCCTACCCGAACTACCTTGCTCGGATCGCTGTCATCAAGCAGAACTTCTTGGATCTCCTCTTTTTGGGGATAGATTTTGTGTATTGGTTTGGCGGTTACATTATTTACTCGGCGTGAACTTTGCTTGATGTTTGCTACGAGTAACGCGCGAGCCGCTTCCTGATCACCACGAAGCGTGCAGATGCTGCCGTCGTTGCCTGGAAACTTGATGCACTGGTGGTAGGTGGATGAAATCGCTTTCATCGAATGCAGCCAAGGCGTTCCGAATATTACATGATACGGGGCACTCGTACCAATTATAGAGAATTTGACAGTTCGCGCTATACCCCCGACATATACCGGAAGACGGATAGTGCCGAGCATATCTTCGGATGCGCCGTTGAATCCGGTCAGGGAACGAGTTGAGGGCTTGATGAGTCGGAGATCGACTCCCATCTTCTCGAGGGTATTGTAGAAAATCAAGTCTACGGAACTACCCGTGTCGATGAGGACTTTAGTTACCTCACAGTCGGCGATTCCTACTTCAATTAACAGTGGATCGTTGTGAGGCATGTGTACCCCGCGGGCGTCTTCAGCGGAGAACGTGATTCGGGGCTCGTCTGGAGGTTGAACATGCCAGCCTCCGGAGGATTTTGCGCGCTTTTGGTCGGTTTGTACAGAACGTACTGACTCATCACAAGGCGGTGAGCCCCCCATGATGAAATTTAGCCGAGTGCATGCTCCCAAATGCGGGTCGGACTTGGCGAGGGACTTAATCGTATCTAAATGCTTGCGTAGATCGAGCTGCTTTGATTGATTAAGCGTTTCCCGGAGATCTTTCTTAGCGGAGTTCAACTTATCCCGGAGGTCGACAACTTGCGCTTCTGGTGAGACTCGGCGGGTTTTGCAACGGTTTATGGTGTCTCGGAGATCGTGGGAGACATCCGGTGTGCCGGCCAGGCGTCGCGTGGTGAGGAGCGAACGTAGGTCTCAGGATTCGTTCTCGTCGTCAGATGAGGACTCGGGGCCGGTTAGTATGACCTGGATCCTTTTTCTGTTCTTTGGTTGTTCCTCCTCGGGGGGCGGTTCGTCGCGATCGCGGGGCTCGGTTTTCTCCTCAGCTTTTGATGTGTCCTCTTTCGCTTTGCTGGACGTGCCGGACGGTTTTTGCCCTCTTTTATCCTTGTTCTTGCTCCAGCTATTATTTCCTTTCGGACGCGGCTTTGGAAGGTCTGTTGGGATTTCACCGCGGGAGTATTTTCCGAACAGCATCTCCTTGAGCTGCTTGCAATCCTTTGAATCGTGCGCCCTGGATTTGTGGTATGAGCAGTACGGTTCGCGCTCATCGGTGTCAGGTTTCTGGGACGTTGGTTCGCCCGATTCATCGTCCTCCTTTCGGTTGTAGTGATTCCATCCTTTGGCGCGAACTACAACCGTCGAGTCGGAGATGGCGTCCTCGTCTACCATGTAGACAAAGCTCTTCTTCTTAGGCTGTTTTTCGTCCGCCGAGTGTTGTCTCGGCTCCTGCTTTGAATCGGAGGTCTTGCTCGGTGCTGGTTTGTTCGCATGCTGCTTACTTATCATCGCCTTGGTATCTTCTTCCATTCGGATGAAGTTGTTTGAGCGTGCGATAGCGTCCTGGAGCGAGGTCGTTGGGTTGCGATAAAGGTCTTCTCGTAACTTTGAGTGGATGTAAAGCGTATTTTTCAGGGCGTCCACTGCGATGTTGTCGGGGACGTCTACCTTGGACACGACTTCCTTGAATTTCTCCATGAAATCTCTCAGAGTCTGACCGTGCAACTGAGATAGCTTCCACAGGTCGGAAGCGGTGGCTTTCTGGTTAGTGAACATGATGTAATGCTTCAAGAAGGCCGTTGAGAGGTCGCGAAAGGTGTCAATGGAGTTCTCCGGTAGGCGCGAGAACCAGTTCAGCGCAGCTCCGTCGAGGCTCTCAACGAATCGCTGGCAAAAGCCGGCGTCTCGCTCGGCATCGGTGAAGTTTGCTCGGCCCATGGCGATGTTGAATGCCGTCATATGTTCCGATGGGTCGTCAGTGCCGCCAAAGGTAGGCAGGCGGATTTTCTCCGTGATTCGTAGCCGGACGTCGGTAATGCGGCGAGTGAAGGGTGTACGGAGGGCGGTCGCGAGGACCTTGTCTATCTGGGGAGCTGCACTCGTCACGTGGTGGATCTGAGAGTGAATCTCTTGAAGCGCGAGTTTTAACTCGGCAATCTCCCGAATGGTTCGCAGATCTGGGTTGTCAGCCGGTTGAACGGTGTCAACCGGGGTGTCAGTCGGCTGGATGGTGTGGTTTGCCGGAGTAGGAGTAGGGTTTGTGTTGAAAAGAAATCGGCGAGCCGTCGAGAGATTTCCGTCTGGGTTTGCGAGTGCGGCGGCGATGGCCGCAAGGTGCTCGTTAGTCGTCTTTTGAACCTCTTCTTGGTGAGCAAGGCGAGCCAAGACGGAATCCATGAGGGTTTCAGGGTTCTGAACCGGTGGAGTTTCCTNCGTCTGGGTTTGCGAGTGCGGCGGCGATGGCCGCAAGGTGCTCGTTAGTCGTCTTTTGAACCTCTTCTTGGTGAGCAAGGCGAGCCAAGACGGAATCCATGAGGGTTTCAGGGTTCTGAACCGGTGGAGTTTCCTCCGTTTGCACGTCGGGAGGAGTTTCTTCGTTCATCTTTTATCACACTACTTTGTTATGCCCCACAGTGGGCGCCAACTGTTTGTACCGAGTTCGGTCGAATATCAGTAAAATGAGTGACGGGACTCGTCGGTGGGTTATTACAAAGGTGTGAATCTAAACGAACCGAGTGAACAGGAGGTTTTATTTATAAACGGAGAGAGTACAGAGAGAATCCCGGCGTTCGGAACCCGTGCCGAGATTCGGTTTGAGTTGATTAAGACAACGGAATTAATCTAGCTATTTGCCCTAGTCTATGCCGCCGTCTCAGTGTCAAGTTCCAGATCCTTCTCTCGTGCTCCCTCCCTCTCCTTTTATAGCTCGAGCTCCTCGGTCTTAACCTAGGTCGCTCTCGGCTCATGGGCCTCCGGTATTGGGCCTGCTGTCGGCTCAACAGCGCCTTTTCCTACTTGTACGGACGCCACTCGGGTTTGACTGTTTACCCTTGCCGGGCCGAGTGTGATTTCCCGTGGGCCTTGAGGGGCGGGTATGGCCCACCTCCTACAGGTATGAAAGCTTTGGTTGTCGAAGAACTCAAGAACTACTTCCGTCCAGAGTTGTTGAACAGGATAGATGAAATCGTCATTTTCAGACAGCTCGAGCAGGCTCAGGTTAGTAATGAAACACCGAACTAAACCAAAACTTGACTTAGTGGAACCAAATAGATTAAACTTAATGTTCAACTCTGATTTTGTAGATGATGGAGATCCTGAACTTGATGTTACAAGACTTGAAGTCGAGGCTTGTGGCACTTGGAGTCGGTTTAGAGGTGTCTGAGCCTGTCAAGGAGCTTATCTGCAGACAAGGCTATGATCAGGCCTACGGTGCAAGACTACTCCGTAGAACCGTCACAGAGATTGTTGAAGATCCACTCAGTGAAGCCTTTCTTGCTGGGAGCTTCAAGCCTGGTGACACGGCGTTTGTGGTTCTCGATGATACTGGAAACCCTTCGGTTCGGACCAAACCAGATTCTTACAACGTACGCGTTACAGACAAGACATCAATCGCATAAATTTCACTATTGGAGGATTGTATATAAAGATTCTTTGGTTATACTCACTCGTCTTGTACGTCAAATATCAATTGCTTGTTGCAAACATGTATATATATAAAGATACATAGTGATTAGTGCGTGAGGTAACTTTGAGTAGCTTATTAAATTATGTACTGTTACTCGAATTATATTATACTTTATTTTTCTGAATTGGTTGAGTCATGTGTTTGCATGAAAGAAGAGTTAAGGATGATTGTAGGATGTGTATACATATAATTAAAATCGATATACTTTTTAGTATCGATAAACACAGAACTATAAAAGTGTGAACTCTTTTACGAGAAACTAGGTGACTCGTCCGTACCCTGTGAGGGTATAAAAATATAGTATAATGTTGAGACAGGAATGTCTATTGAATTAAAATGTGGGAGTTAGTGGAACAATTAAGAGTTTCAATGCTGAGACAAGATTTGCGCAAATCTCTAAAATGCAGTAGGGGTGGGCAAATCGTTACTTTTTCGGTTTGGTTTGTTTAGTTCGGTTTTAATATATTTTTTTCAACTGAAATAAACCTTATTTAGTCTCGTTCGGTGTGGTTTATGTCTATTTCAATTTATATTCAGTTCGGTTTGTTTTTGGATTGGTTTAATTAGGCTCTTTGTCGCTAATTTTTTAAAAGAAAAATTATGTTTTAAAACATATACACATAAAGTATGTGAACTAAATTCAATATTAAACTGAAACACAAACTAAAAATGACACAAAAAGTATATAAGAATAAAACAAATGAAAGTTAACGAAAGTAAAAAAAAATTAACATCATTAGTATGTTTTTAATAAAAGTTAACTATTAAAAAAACAAATGTAAGAAAAATATACAGGAGACAGTGACATATTAAAAAATGTGATAAAAATCTCAGAGATATCACAATCTCATAGAAAATGTGATAAAGTTTAAATATAATTCATAAGTAATATAAAATAAGAAGACAATTATGAATTAAAAAAATCCCATAAGAACCTGCAAAAAAATTGTCAATTTTTTTTAGCAATTGTACAATATAAAATAATTTAATAGATTTCTAAATTTTCATAAACCGATACACGATTCTTTGAGAGATGAAAGACCGTTTATAGTTGACTACAAACCATTTTTCAGTTTGTTTCAATAGCGAGATGCAAATTTAATATTATTTTCGTCTCGAGAAAATTTAGAGAGATGAAAGACTGTTCATAGTTGACTACAAACCATTTTTCAGTTTGTTTCAATAGCGATATGCAAATTTAATATTATTTTCGTCTCAAGAACATTTAGAGAGATGAAAGACCGTTTATAGTTGACTGCAAACCATTTTTCAGTTTGTTTCAATAGCGATATGCAAATTTAATATTATTTTCGTCTCGAGAAAATTTATATTGGAAAAAATCGTACGTTGATGTCTTATCGATATGCAAACCATTTTGGTATTCCGATAGATGCTGAGGATTGATGTCTTGTCTGTAACGCGTACGTTGTAAGAATCTGGTTGCTTTAAAGTTAATAACTTCATAAACCGATACACGATTCTTTGAGAGATGAAAGACCGTTTATAGTTGACTACAAACCATTTTTCAGTTTGTTTCAATAGCGATATGCAAATTTAATATTATTTTCGTCCCGAGAAAATTTAGAAATCTATTAAATTATTTTATATTATACAATTGCTAAAAAAATTGACAATTTTTTGCAGGTTTCTATGGGATTTTTTTAATTCATAATTGTCTTCTTATTTTATATTACTTATGAATTATATTTAAACTTTATCACATTTTCTATGAGATTGTTATATCTCTGAGATTTTTATCACATTTTTTAATGTGTCACTGTCTCTTGTATATTTTTCTTACATTTGATTTTTTTTAATAATTAACTTTTATTAAAAACATACTAATGATGTTAATTTTTTTTACTTTCGTTAACTTTCATTTGTTTTATTCTTATATACTTTTTGTGAATTTTTTAGTTTGTGTTTCAGTTTAATATTGAATTTAGTTCACATACTTTATGTGTATATGTTTTAAAACATAATTTTTCTTTTAAAAAAATAGCGACAAAGAGCCTAACTAAACCAATCCAAAAACAAACCGAACTGAATATAAATTGAACTGGACATAAACCACACCGAACCAGACTAAATAAGGTTTATTTCAGTTTGAAAAAAATATATTAAAACCGAACTAAACAAACCAAACAAAAAAAGTAACGATTTGCCCACCCCTACTGCATCCTAGAGATTTGCGCAAATCTTGTCTCAGCATTGAAACTCTTACTTGTTCCACTAACTCCCACATTTGAATTCAATAGATACTCCTGTCTCAACATTATACTATATTTTTATACCCGCACAGGGTGCGAGCGGGTCACCTAGTTATAGTCTTAAATGCAAGAAATTAAATGTTACATTATTTCATTCCTAGCAAAATTGGTCTATTAAAATATTAAGGTTTAGAAGCTCTGTGAGTTTGACACGTAAGCATGTTCTCCAAGGTTGTGCATTTATGAATGCTTCAGGATTAATATATAAGGGATTATCTTTCTTTGTTTTTGGTCAAAAAAATAAGAGATATTATCTATAATTTATTTTTCCTCCTAACTCAAAACCTCTGATCCCACTATTTCCTAAATCTAATTTCGCCTTAAACTATCATTAGGGATGGGCATTCACATACCCATTTGTGTTCAGTTTCGGATCTATTCGAGTTTCAAATTTTCGGGATCAAAGATTTTAGCTCATTCATTTATTTCTGAATTTCGGTTCGGATTCAGTTTGGATCTTTGCGGGTTCAGATTCGGATAACCCATTTAAATTATTTTGATTTTTTTTTGAAATTCATCATATACTTTAAATTGCTCAAGATTTATAAACAAAATAATACATTACATATAAATTTGAATAACATATGTCAAAAATACCTAAAATTAACATATAAACTGGTTTGGTTTCAATAATTTGATAGATAATAAATAGATATTTCAACTATTTTGGTGTTTTGAATATATTTTATTTATTTTGAACATTTAGTTTTGACTATGTGTATATGTTTTCAAAATTATTTAGACAATTTAAAAGTATCATATATATTTTGGATGTTTTTAATGTACTTTAAATTTAAAAATAATTAACATAGAAAAATTATCTAGGTTAGTCTCTTTTAGTTTATTTTTACAAAAAAAAATCTTTAAGTAAGAAATTTTATTGAAGGACAAATATATTCTTATACCCATAGGTTTAACTAACCCTAGACATTGTTGTTTAAAGTTAAGGGGTGGAGGGGTTTAGGCTTTAACATATTTAAAAATAGAAAATAAATATTAAAACTTTTAACATAAAAATATAAAAATAGTTTCAAAAACAATATTTTCGAATTTTCAAAAGAAAATAAAAAAAATAAAAAAGGTTTATAAAAAGTGCGAATCTGAAAACATAAATCTGAATTTATTTATAAAATTTATTTTTATATATGTGTTATATTTATATATTTTTTATTTATATTTATAAAGTAAAAGGCACAAAAGTCTTTTACCTCTTTAATGAAATATATTTCGGTCATTTTCTTCCTTTAACTTTTTGTAATAAAAACTTTAAAAAATGTTATTTGAGAGAATTGCCCATTAATATATCTAGGTATATAAACCTATTTCAAACATTCAGGTACCTAAAAATACTTTGGTTTGGGCCAGGTTCAGTTTCGGTTCTTTATATACTAAAATTTTGAATCTATTCGGATATTTAATCAATTTTGGTTCGGATTTGATACTACCTTTTCGGATCGGATTTGGATTTTTGGCACAGCCCTAACTATCAAAATCTTTGTAATCTCTCACCTCTCACAATTCTCTTATTCCTTTGAATCCTAATCTCGTTATTTTCTTTCGAACCAACCGTATTGTGTTTGAGAGTTATAAAATCAAAGCCCTCATTGCGAACGTCTCCTCAACTCTCGTCTCCTTCTGCTCTGTTTCACAGACAATCTTTGACATGCAAGGTGTGATTTCTTCTTCAAAATCGAACCATTTTAACTTTGTTTTGTTTCAAAGGATAAATCTCAGCTCTCGTCTCCTTGTTCTTAAATTTGCACATAAGAAGAAGAACACACTACTCCACGTCACATGTTCGGCTGTTTACCGTAACCACAAGCACTGCGTCCATACATATCCATTCATAAGTACATGTTCAGTGTCTACAACACAGCATTTTTCGGTTTGTTCTTTGTCTTAGATTCTTATCTTTCTTGTGACTAACGAACAAAAAAAAATTAGTGTATATGGTTTGCCGACACAGTAGTTTTGTAAGTTGTTTTTTTGGAATTTTACTTCATGACACATCTGTTTATCCTTGACTGTGATTTTAGTGTATCTGGTTTTCTTATTGTGAAAGTGTGTTGGATTTTTGTGGATTAATTACAACAATTTCTCCATTGGGTTTTAGGGTGTTGAGATGTGGTAAATTTGTTAGAACGACTGGTGGTGGGTGGGGTGCCTTGGGGACACAATCGTATGAATTTAATTAAAATTTGTGTTGAAGGATCCATCGACAATACAAGATTGTCCATGAGATCTCATCCACAAAACTTTTTCCATGAAATTTCATCCACAAAACTTTGTTCACGAAGTCAAATTAATCACTATGAATTCATCCACAACTTTGATATCCACAATTCATTTTTACAGTATTTCGTTATCCACATTATATTGTTTACTTTCACACGCTTCCAATGTCCATAAATATCAATATATATTATTGATTTTACCAAAGAAAACATTATGAATATGAAAATTTAGAAGAAGTATCACATAACACCTATCCACAAATAACAAAATGTTGTCCCTAAAAATATATCCACAAAACATTGCATACAATATGTAAATTCAAATTATACATTTAAAACATTAAAATACTTATGTAAATATGGGTATCAAAATACAAAGAAAAAAATTTGTATTTTGTTTCATACATTTATTTATACACTGGAATATA